GTGACATTTTCTATCTGAACAAATTTTCCATCGGTGTTATTTGGAAATCCATTCTGCATTTTTACCCTCCCCGGTATCATTTTCTCTCATTCATTTTCTATAAATTGCTTGCTTATCTAAAAAACCCTCTTTTATTGAGGCTATACTTTCTAAACAATTTGATGAAGGCTTAATTGAGACATATCCCAAAATAATTAGATAGGCGAAGCCAAGCCAAGCCCTAACCAGACTAAACTTAACACTGATGGTTCTTAACACGAATCGATGGATGAGGGAGGCCCCAGACTCCTTGTTGAATAAGGGTGGCCCTGGATCATGTATTGTCACTCGATGCTCTTATATGCATGGTCATCATGCGCTCTATTATGAGACCAAGATAATTATGGATGGACTAAGAACTATTATTCAACAAGGAATCTCCATTTTCTCTCGTCCATTTTTTATAAATTGCTTGCTTATCTAAAATACCCTCTTTTATTGAGGCTAAATTTTCTAAACAATTTGATGAAGGATTAATTGAGAAATATCCCAATATAATTAGATAGGCGAAGCCAAGCCAAGCCCTAACTAGACTAAACTTTGTTGAATCTTGGATTTTGATGATGAAATAAATTAGTAAATTATTTGATCAAATCTATATATTGAGAAAAGTGTACAGGATTAACTACGATAGTGATCAAGGCATAAAGCAAAACAAAATGCCGGAGTCAAGATCGAGATTTTGTTAGGAGTTCGAGAGATCGACGGAAGTCCAGACGTTTGTCGGAAATTCTACTGGAATTGACCGAGAAGTCCAGGAGCTTACCAAAGAAGCTTGTCGGAACTTGCCAAGAAGATCGTTGTGAAATCCAGGAGCTTGCTAGGAGTCCGCTGGAACATTGCTGAGAGATCATCGGAAGTTCATCGGAAACTCGCCAGAAGAAATCTAGACTAACCGGATTTGATTTGTTTAGTGTATACCTTAAAAATCGTAGTTAGCACATAATTAGGGTTAGGTTTGGGAGGTAATCTCGTTAACCCTCCTAAGGGCCAACTGGGCCCGTAATTGGACTGGTTTGGGCCAGATTCAAGGCCCAACCAAGTTGCTGGACCTTGTCTGGCGGTGGCACCGTCAGATTGGGGTGGTGGAACCGCCTAAGGAACGATCTCCTAGGTGGTTTAGGCGATGGTACCGCCGGTAGTTATTACCTGCCAAGCGGTGGTACTGTCAGAGCTCAGTATCCGAGACTCTGTCAAGCGGTGGTACCGTCAAATTAGGTGGTGGTACCGCTCAATGTTAGAGTGTCAGGCGGTGGTACCGCCAGTACCCCGGAAATCCGGGATGAAACATTTTCTTGCTCCAATTTTGAAGCCATTGGGGCCTATAAATACCCCACCTTTTTTTGCATGAAAGGGTAACAAAGTGCAATCAAAGTGTGAAAAAAAACTCTAAGTGTTAGGGTGTTAAAAGTGTTGTAAAAGTTAGAAGAGTCCTCCTCCCTCTCTTTAGCTTTGTAATCATCCAAGAAGATATGTGAGGCTTATAAGGGTTATCTCCTAAAACCCGTGAAAAGGAGAAAGTACTGTAAAGAGGTGGTTGGTCTTCGCCTATTGAAGGAGGACCATTAGTGGACATCGATGACCTCAACGGGGGAGGAATCAAAAGTGGATGTAGGTCATAACGACCAAACCACTATAAATTCCGGTGTGTTCATTCTTTACTGCTTAATCTCTTTATTGCGTTCAACTTTACTTCATTACAAACTGTCCAATCCCCTCTTCTCTACTCATTCAAGAAAAACGAAATGGTTTTCGTTAAAATCAGATTTTATCATATGAAGATTTTTAAACCGACGTAATTTTTCCGCTGCACTAATTCACACACCCCCCCCACCCCCCCTCTTAGTGCCGCTCTTGATCCTAACAAACTTAACATTGACAGTTCTTAACACAAATCGATGGATGAGGGAGGCCCCGGATCATGTATTGTCGCTCGATGCTTTTATATGCATAGTCGCCATGCGCTCTATTATAAGACCAAAATAATTCTTGATGGACTAAGAACGGTCATTCAACAAGGAATATCCAAAATCAATATTAGAATTGATGCAAAGCTTCTGGTTAGACTAGAAGGGAAACCTACATACTCTGGTCTTCAAACTAGGGGTGTTTGCGTAGTTCTAGCTTTGTATGTTAAAAGATTGACCACCTGATTTTGACATCCTACTCTCCTTGGATGCACAAGCTCTTTATGTCCCCTGCCTAGTTAATTAACAAAGTTTTACTTTTTAAGGAAAAAATTCCATTGGATTTTTTAAATCGGTCAATAATATTGTTTGCAATTATGTATTTTATGACCAACATCAACTAATGCAAACCAACTACACATGTATAATTTATGGCATCCTTGCTTCCTTTATAAAAAAGTTATGGCAGTATATCTTGACATATCCTCTAACAAGTTATATGTTTATGATCTAGTATGAACCACTATTCAAATCTGAAGTTTACAACTTTCATGTGTTTTATTTTTTCTAAATACTGACTGTGGAATTTGATATTGACGTAAATAAGACTTCTGATAAGGTCTTCAGCATGTTAATGAATGCCTCGTCCTGAAATGCTTGCATAAATAACCAAAAACTGACTACTGGGGTACTGTTTAACCACTTAATGCATGCTATTAACAAAAGTAAGCAACCAGTAAGCCACAAAGAAGTAAATTAGGAAAAAAAATAATTTGGCAATGTATTGAAGATAATCTGCAGAATAAAGATTGAAATATGAAATGAAAAGCTTACATGAATAACTAATATCGGACAATTGACAAGGCCAATTTTGTCAATGTTCTGCAAAAGCAATAAAATTATTTAGAATGTAAAAGGATTATTACACCAGATGAACACTGAAAATTTTACCTTGTAAATGTCAAACCAATATGTTCGCTTAACTGGATATAGTACCCTAAGTCCAGAAAGGATAGGACTGTGTAGAACAACAGCTCTTAACTTCTGTAGACGGGAGGCCAAATCAAGAGTTGGACCGCTACCCACTGACTGACCATACAAGATTAGGTCCTCATCTGCTACTCCGTATTGTTCTTTAAGACAGTTATATACTGCCTCTATGTCCGCATATGTATTATATTCAGTAGGCTGTTAGGAACAATAGATTATGACACAAACAAAACAGTTAAGAAAGATGATATTTCATGTATTATTTTCTTCATGAGCCAAAATTCATGTGAGGTTTTGCCATAGTAACAAATGAACTTTGACCTTTCCCGTTGATTGCCCGTAACCTGAATAATCATACCTGCAACAAATAGTAAAGAGTCAGCAACTATAAACAAAGCCTTGGCGCAAGTATTTGATCTGTTGAGAGTCCCAATAGGCAAATAAAGCAACTCCTAATGTCATTGATCTTTCACCTCAGTTCCAAGTATTGTCGTTTTTAATGAACAAGAAAATTACAATGATAGGTAGAGTCATACTCAGAACAGCATTAGCAACAGTTATTTTGCAAAAGTATAGGTTTGAGCCACACCTTGATGAGAGTATATATATGAAAGAATTACAAGTTGATAAAAATAGATCATTAAAGTGTCTCTTTACTGACTAAGCCAAAAAAAGCTTTACAAGAATTATTAGACATGCAAATACATACAATTGTTTTGAGATATTTCTGTTAACGTGTCAGCAATGTCACGCATACGAACCACAAACATATGCATGCAGGCTTCTTAGGTATGATAATTATAATGGATTATCAGAGTGTATGATAAGCATTAGAGTTAAAAAAGAACAACCGTACTACTTTTGGATGTCAATTCCGTAGATATGCACTACATCATATCCATATTTTCTAAACTAGAGATCCTATTTACTGGCAGTCAGGAATTTTAATCCTTGAAGCATCAGCAATCATGAACTTCTTATCCATAATTACTTTCAACAACATAAAAAGCAAGTGCACCAACAAAAAGGACGTACCCAATGCACAAGGCTCATCCAATGCAGGGTCTGAAGAGGGTAAATGTACACAGCCTGCCTGACCTTTAAATATTTTGAAGAGATTGTTTCTATAACTTGAACCCTTGGTATACTAGCAAGTAAACCAACAATCTCTGTGACTTGAACCATTGCTACCTCAAAAGGCACAGAAAAGCAATTATGTTCTCGCTAATCGATCAGGTTTCGATTCAGCTATTAAGTTCTGAATGGCAGTTTGTCGACAATAGCTGACCATCAATGCTTATCTACTTCTCACTAGTGATATCATGGCATCTGTAACGAATTTAAGCTACATCTTGTTGATAGGAAATCATAGTCGCTTTACTGGAGAACAGATCTACAAAAGGTTAATTCGTTGCTCAGAAATCAACCTTGCAGAGATTTAGAGGAAGTCCACAAACACATAATTAGATCCCATGAATCACAAAATTAAGCAAGTAACAACAAAAACCAACTAGAAATAGAGACCAAATTATTATCAATCGCAAAGAAAAAGAGATTTAGAAAGAAAGAGTCACCAAAGTGGAATTCACCAGGAGGAGGGATAGGGGGGTGACGAACCCGATGAGATTGACGCGAAGATGGACGCTGAGCTCGACGAAGAGATCGAACATCTGACCGATGTCGGCGGCGTTCCCGTGCGAGTAGAGCAGCGTGGCGGTCGCCCGGGGGTGACGCAGGTACACCGCCACGATCTCGTTGCCCCGCCGCGTTGGGAGGCGGACGACGTGCACGTCGTCGCGCCCCGCCGCCGCGATCCCAGGGATGGCGAGCCGCCCGCTCTGTTCGTCGGCGATCACGGCGTAGGTTGGCGGGTTCGGGGGAAAGAAGGCGAACTTGGCGGCGATCGAGGACGTGACTCCGCCCATCTCCGCCGCCGCCGCCTCCGCGGACTCATCAACGGCCCAGAGGGCGACACCGCTTTCGCCGCCGCCGCCGGTGACGGGATCAGGAAGCCAGGCGAGGAGGCTGAAGGGGAGGAGCAGGTGGGCGGTGGGTTTATCACGCAGCTCACCACCGCCGGAGCCCACAAGATGGTCAGTCACGTGCAGATCGGGTGGGGCCTCCCCAGCCTGTAGAGAAGGTGGGCGGGGCCCGCTTCTTTTGGGAGTTGGATCGTGGTACGGCTCACCTCTCTCGGCCGAGCCAGCAGGCAGGCTCATGCGACTGTCCATGACAGTATGGTTGGAACCCACATTTACCGACGACTATTACAAAACTCAATCTTTAGCATCTGTTGCCTCGTCCATGGCATAGGATCCGGACCCCGTGGAACGCGGTGTCCTGGGGATGATAACGCGCCCCGCTATTGACCAGATTCCCAAAGAGTATATCCTATCCCGAGATCTCCCTAATCCGGGATATCGGTATATGCACCTCTGCTATCCGTTCTCTTTGATAGGATCCGGAATCATCTCCAATAATTGTCCTGATCCAAATCCAATCACCAAATAACATTACAATTCTCACATACAAAAAAGACACTTGGATCCCAATCAGCAGCACTACATGGCCCTCTCAAATCAACGATTATTTAGTTTCAATTGAGAATTCATTTTTACCATTGATAAGTTTTCTTATTTCCATACAACGAGGATAGGTGATCAGGAGGAGATTGTCATTGTCAAGTTCTAAGCGGTATCTGAGATCATATGGATTTTAGAACCATAGCAATTTTGTCCATGTTCCGAACAGGGACTCTACAATCTGACAGTGTATTCCCAAGTTTGGGACAGCAGTAATTTTCACTCCACTGCAACACAGTACTTGGATTCCAGCTAACGAGAGTGCTTGCTTGTTTGTCGTACAGATATGCCTTTGTGGGGTTTCCTTCTATCACTGCCATAATTCTTGTGAAGGCTCGCCGTGAGCATCTTTAGGTGCATCATAAAAGATATCCTTTTGCAAAATCATTGATCAAGAGAATTATGGCTGATGTGACCATTAATTTGGCATTCATTCCATTCCATGCATGTTCAGGAAAAAGAAATGCAACTCAAGAGAAACGTGATCATTTTTGGACCAACCTTTTTCCTAATATGATGATCATTTGTACAAACGAGGGACTGTCGTTAGGAATAGACCGGACGCCCACATGTTTGTGAACGTCATCAGTCTTTACTCCACCCCGCCTCCTCAAACAAACAGACTTACAATCTTCAAAGAAAAGTGAGTTACAGTAGAAGAACAACCAAAGAATCCGTATACGTACGTACGCCTCTTGTCGCTTGCTACGTTCTGTATCATCGTCAACAAGCAAGCAATCAGGGCACCCGATTCGTACCTAACAACAGATGCTATGATTTCTAAGCTTAATTTACATCGAGACTAGACTTTATGGGTTGTCGTTTGGTTTCAGTCGTAGAAAGGCTGCACAGAGCTGACGATATCGTATCCTCCAACTCTGTAATCTATTGCATTCTCTTGATGAACGGAATACCAAAGCGATGTATCCATCTCACATTGCTGTTGCATCCCCAAATCTGTCGAAAGAGCTATAAAACATCAGTACATTCACAAGTCAGTTCAATCTGCATCGATAATTTACCGAGCTGGTTTACTAACTTTGTGGCAAAACAACGCTCGGATGAAGCAATCCATCAGTCTCTTCCAAGTTGTCCCAGTTTCGATATGCTTCTTCAACCAGATGCTGCACATAGGCCTGCAGAATAGCGGAGCACAGTGAGATCAGCAGTTCAAGAGTCAAACATAAGTAAAAGATCTGAAGAAGCTGGTTTTGGTGCTCACCATCTGAGGTCTGCTTAGCTCTTGCACTGTGCAGGTCATGCTACCAGTCACAATCGACACCACTTCACATATAGGGTTTAAGACAAGGCTCCATTGTGGTCCTCGGTGTAGGTAAAGCTTGTCTCCGATGATGCAGGTCTTTGCATGAGCAACTGTTCCTTCCCACATGCGATCCGACATCCCCACTCCCAATATCTGATCCATGAAAGCAACACCTCAACAAGGGCACAAAGCATTTTGGCACATCGGCCACATTACAGCAGCATTACTGCGTTCAGCAAGGGAATTAAGAACACGTACACTGCGGAGACGATCAGGTTCGACGGCGCACAGCTTCAAGAAGTCCTGGACCGTGTTGATGCTCTCTGCCGACAGCTTTCTGTGGAACGCCCCATCCTTCCCTATCCTCTCTAGTCGCCATACCTCGTCCCAAAGAGCTGGGGGATAATGTTTCCTGTACACTGCATTATTATAATCATTCACCGATTAGTTCTGTCTATCTTTAGAATTTTGTATTGAAGCACGTATCGATGATTGATCCTATACCAAAGATCTAGCTTTAGATATGCACCTTGAATTTGACTGCATCAAAAGTAACAAGAGCAAGGGTTTCACACTCACATTCTCCTCTGTGATCCTTGACCATGAAGGGCTCGGTCATGGCTTCTTTAATGCTTGGACCATTGTAGCCCTTCGGCACGACTCTGGCACCAATCCTGAAGTGTCGACTTCTTATCCAACTAGAATTATCAGTGAAGGAGATATCAGAGATGTAAGCAGTGCCATCTCTCAGTGTAACATTGACATCCCCTGTGAGCAATGGCCTCTTCCCGGTCCTCTCCCTCACGATCTTTTTCTGGAATCCTGCGCTGGTCCACTCATTTCCATCTCCCGAAGGAAAATCTCCATCTAAGACTAGTATTTCTACTTTGACAGCTGATGGTAATGAGGATAAAGGAACCTCTCCGTTAGCTACATCTACGATGATGATCTGGAGTGGGTTATTCTCAATGTCCATTATCTTGCTGCCAGTGAATATGGGGAGTGAAGGTTGCTGCTTGAATGCAAGCTTCAAGCTTGATGATTCTGCTGCTTCAATCTGAGTCGGGATAGACCTTAAACAACATTTTCGGACCAATATTAGTCTTTTGTAAATGGAATTTACCCAGGATTTTGAGTTCCAATCAACAAATCAAGCTGAAGTAGACAGAGAAATACACATTCTTCACCTCTGAAATGAGTGGATGCTGCGAATTACTCCTTGCTCGACCTCCTCTTGCACCTAGTTTTTGTACGAGAAGAATTATTAGTTGAGATCAGTTGGAATGAAAAAGAACATAAATTTGTTCTCTTATTCGTTGTGACTTTGAGGGATTAAGCAGTAAAGAGATGGTTCCAAGGCAGCATCACTTGTAGGATATATCATCATACCACTTTGCGAAGCAATGGTTCCAAGACAAAGAAGAAGTTCTGTAGAGATTTCGCCATCATAGCCTCTCTAATCACCCTGTCAAAAGGCAAGAGGGAGGTCATACATCATTTTAGACCAAAGCAACCACATAAACAAAACCTTAAGGCATCTGAGACTTGTTCTTATTCATGTACGCAAAAGAGAAGCCATGATCAGATGGATTTTGGACAACGACAAAGCAAATAGTGGGAGAAGGGTGAGCAGAAGAAGGCCGTTGGGATTACTGACGTCGAGAACGAAGGTACGCTTCGCATCCGCTTGTTCTGCGATGGGTCAGACCCTTGATCGGAGTCATCGCGGAGCCTCTTCGCTGCCATGTCCTGTTGCTCTCTTTGTGGAGGGAAGGGATGGAAGCTGAGGGGTCTCGAATTGGTCTTGGAAGAGCAGGGGCTTATGGATGGAACATGGAGGTCGCAGAGAGGGTGGCCTTGGACTTATATGAACAGCCGCAGTAGAGGCCTGTAGAACTAAAACCATAGGAAAGTACTAGGAAACAGCTGGGAAGGTGAGGGAACAAAGCGCGTTCCCTGCTCCTACAAGAAGGTTGACGTAATGCCTCCGATGTCACTCTCCCGCCAACGGTCAACTACCAAACCTCCTCGGCCCTCTCTTTCCCATGCGCAAGGTATGTCCTTTATGACCATTTACAGTAATCCTTCCTACTCGATCTATTAGTAGTTCTTTCCTCCTCACCATGTTCATTTACTAGATCTGCTCCAATACATGTAAATTGTCACGATTCAATCTGCAATTTTATTGAATTGGAGCTACCAATCTAAAGTGTTCCAAGTCCAAATGAATGATATATACTCACCAAATGCTTAATTCTTACATATAGGGTATCAAATATGTTTTGTGGGATTCAACCATCAAAAAGCCTTCTACTGGATGGATGTTTGCAGTTTCTTCTTAAAGAATTACCGAGTGATTTTTCCTTCTCATCTCTTTGAAGAAGGAACCATCATTGCACATGCAGTTTATAATAGACTACTGTTGACTCGAACATAGGCGGGAGTGACAGTGACGATCTCAACAAAGCAAGGAAACCTAGCTGCATTTGATGTTGAATATTGCACCATATGTTGTTGTTCTTTAAAGCCCAAAACAAGTAGATAGAGACACAGGAGTGCTGACTTCCTTACCTACCCAATATACAAAAGTAACCGAAGCAATTGTCTGTTAAAATCGACTTCCGGAAGAGCACAACAGCCTGCTGAAGAAAGTGATCAAATCTTTATTGCAGCGGATAGCCTCTCTTTCGCGACAAGATGCAGATGCTGATGCTTCTACCAAACACGGTTACTTGCGATAGCTTCCGCGTTAAGATAAAGAGAGACGCGTGAACACGTTTGGCAAAGACTTGACTCCCATTACAGCATCGAAGACTTGGAGAATCCTTACGTATTGAGATCATATTGTATTGAGAGAGAGAGAGAGAGTACAACTACCGTAAAGACTAGACCAATAACGCGTCAGGTCTTGTTTGCTTCTTTCATTCTTTTTCTTTAAATCAATGTCTGATGGCTAGACTGAAGCCAATTGATCAGTCTTTTTCCCTGTCTCCGCGTGTGGACTTCCAAAACAATTGACATCGGAAGAGCAAACATAAACAATAACACCGTTGAGTGAAGCATCATCAGAAGTTGAATAGCTGAAAACATAGAATTATTAATATCTAATTATTATTTTTATCCGGACAAGCAAAAACGAATAAAAAAGAAAGAAGAGAAAATAATAATCGAAAGATAATAGAGAAATTAACATAGGACGAGTAAAAAGGAAGACAATGA